AGTTCTGATCTCCCCGCAGCTTCTCCAACATTTGTTATTTTCTGTTTTTTTGATTTGTGCCAGTAATGCCGGGGTGAGATGGTATGTCATTGTGATTTCGATTTGCATTTCTCTAATGGCTAGTGATAGCAGACATTTCCTCATGTGTCTGTTAGTCACCTACATGTCTTTTTTGGTGAAGTGTCTGTTCTTATCCTTTGCCCATTTTTTAATGGGGTTGTCTTTTTGTTGTTGAGGTGTTGAAGTATTTTGTAGATTTTAGAATAGTGCAAACAATTTGTATTGTTCTAAATTGTTTTGAATTTCCTAACAAACTTCTATATTTCACAAAAATTTCCATAAATGTTTTGCTAACTAATATTTCTGCCCACCTCTAACCCCTAAACTTTGCTTCTGCGAAAGCCCATTGAGCAGCAGAGCTTAACATCGGCCATCCCCTTGCCACTTTCTGAGGGCATAGGTACCCTCGGCAAGATAGCTCTTTTTTTTTTTAAGATGCCACCTTATCCTGATGCCATTAGACATTTAAACTGAATAACAGTTATTTGTTTTGATGCCAGGCTCACCAAGCAATCTTCTGAAAGCAATCTTTTGATCCTAATTAAGGCTTCTCATGTAGCTTGCCTACAAGGACAGAATGCAGTTGCCAGAAGATGCAAGTATTTGTTCCTCTTGCTACTAGACTTTTTATTGTATATAAATTAATAAATTACCATTGTCTTTTTTGAACTTTGCCTAGGGTAAAGTGGCTTCTAGAATTTGATTGTCCTGGGACAGTAACAAAGCTGAAGGCCAGACCTTGCACTTTGGCAGAGTGAGCAGAGCAGCCTGTTCTACCAGGTCCCTTGGCAGCCAGTCATCTGCCTTCCAAGGACACACCCTGAGTTCATCATACACCTTTCTTTCTGACTTCTACAAGTATTACTTATGAACCGCGTAACTCAATAATTGATGTGTTATTTCTTTGGGCTTTTCTCAAGATACATTATGAAAGGTTTTCTTCAATTTTTCACTATTCACTCTTTGAAAGAAATATATAGACCTTGGACAACTCTAGTTAAGTCTTGACCTTTTTTCCCCCTGGGAACTGGCAAAACAATTTGAAAATTGTCTATCATGTACCTATCTTCTGGACATTTTTCTGTTCATTAGTACCTGCTTGCTACAAGAAAGGGCAAATCAGAAAGTACTTTAAAATCCTTAGGTATTGCTCTTTGATGGAAATTCTGAGTTTTGGTTTTTATTTCTTAAATGTTTGTTAAAAAAGCAACCAACTTTTCTATTAAACAGTATTTGAAGGGAATTTTCTATGAACTTATATTTTATATGCTTACAGAAGGTTCCGTAGAATACCACTTCTGCAAATTGTATACCTATATACCCCTTTTGAAGATTTAGAATGCATGTTAGCTTTTTAAAGATACAGAGAAGTGCTGCAAGAAGAAACCCGTTTAACTTTGTATAATCTGAATTTCTTAAATTTACTTGACTTCTTCAACTTCCAGTCCACCATCTCCGTCTCCTCCCAGCAAATCCCAGTTGACAAACATGATTTGGGAGATGTTTAATTTTTCCTTCCTTGACTTTTCTGCGTCTTGTCTTGAAATATAGAACATGAACCTAGTGATTCTAAGATTTCCAAAGATGGTTTGGCAGGATTGCCTTAGATAGCAGATAGATAGCATACCAAGAAGAGCAGCTTAATGCTTAGAATTACTTGGCCATAATAATTTTTGAGTTTAATTTATTGTTTTTTTTTTTTTAAATAGCATCATTATTAAAGCATTTAGCATATTAAAAAAGTAAAGTAGGTGTCTAAATTAATGTCTTACATTTGTATAAGCCATTCTCAGATTTATTATCTCATATGGCCTTAGACTAGGCCTGTGAACTAGGCAGAGCAAATGTTATAATCCCTGTCTGGGGGGAAAGTCACTTGAGTTTAGAGTGTTCTGGTGATCTGAATAAGACCATGTGATCAGTCAACAGCTGTTGTAGATTGAATTGTGTCCTCCAAAAATATGTGTTGTAAACCCTAATCTCTATGCCTGTGGTTATAATCCTATTTGGAATGGGTGGTGTTTGGTATGTTAATGAGGCAGAGTAGGGTGTGTCTTGAGTTTCTCTCTTTTGATATATAAAAGAGATTAAACAAGCAAGCAAACAAGCAGAAATGGTGGAAGGTAGATACTATGCCACATGAAGATCACCAAGGAGCAAAGGAACAAGGACCTTCCCCCAGAGCTGACAGAGAGAGAGAAAGCCTTTCCCTAGAGCTGGTGCCCTAAATTCAGACTTCTAGCCTCCTAAACTGTGAGAAAATAAATTTCTGTTTGTTAAAACCACTCACATGTGGTATTTCTGTTATAGCAGCACTAGATAACGGAGACAGCAGCAGAGCCTGGGTTTAATCTCTAAAGTTCTCTTCCCCCACCTGGACTTTATAGAGCACTTTACTTTTTGCTAATTCTTTTAATCCTCCCTTCCCCCATCTGATAGGTTGACCCATTCATTAATTAATACCTACTGTTTGTCAGATGGAGCCCTGGTGGCACAGTGGTTAAGAGCTTGGCTGCTAACCAAAAGGTCAGCAGTTTGAATCCGCCAGCCACTCCTTGGAAACCCTATAGGGCAGTTAGTTCCACTCTTTCCTATAGGGTCGCTATGAGTTGGAATTGACTCAACGGTAACAAGTTTGGATTTTTGATTTTACGGGTGTCTCAGATATGATGCTATCATGGTGAATGTTAAAAAATGAATCAAGAAAAATTCTTGCCTAGAGTTGCTCCTAGTTTAATGGGATAGGCAAATGGAGTGATAAACTCTAGTGCCTGAGATATGTTGGTACAAATGCTAGAGAACACTTACAAAGGAATGTCAAATGTAATGTCCCTTCTGGCAGGGTTCCTGCAAACAGAGAGGGTGCAGGACATAACTGGTTCAGGGATAGGTCATGCAAGGGCTGGAAGGCATGAAAGTATCAGGTGTGTTGAGAGAAGAGTGAGTGGTGAGGAAGGACAGTAGAAGAGACTAGAAAGGCAAGTTGGAGACGGTATTTGGAGTTGGAGTCCTGACTCCACAGCTCACTAGCTATGTAAGTTTTCCAAGCTTCAGTTCCCTACCTTAGAGGGCTGTTGTGAGGATGAAATGCAAGCACATGTGGGAAGTGCTTCTACTTTAAGTCCTCAGGAAAAAAAAAACAAAAACAAAAACACCGGGGGAATCAATGAATAGAATATCATGAAGTTCCTGGTATATGCCAGCACTCGTGTTTGTGAGTTGCCCTAGTTTATCATGCTAAGTTAATTTGACTTGCTGTAGGATATGAGGAGATACGAATGATTTTAAACAAGTGACATCAGCTTCCTGTTTTAGAAAGATTGAGAGTAATCTTCAGAGAAACTAGTTTATGATGTCAAAACAATTAATTAAATTTTAGATATAGTGAGTTTGAGGTTCAAGTAGTACATTGAGGTATAAACCTGATAAGGACAATGAGACTGAGAGTTTACCTTTGTTCGATTGCTTACTTTCAACCTATACTTTGATAGGATCCCTGGTGGTTAAGCACTCACCTGCTAATCAAAAGGTCAGCAGTTCAGTCCCACCAGCTGCTAGGGCAGGGGTGGGGGGGGGATGAAAAAGATGTGGCAGTCTGCTTCCATAAAGATTACAGCCTTGGAAACCCAATGGGGCAATTCTACTCTGTCCTGTAGGGTTGCTATGAGTCGAAACTGACTCAATGGCAGTGAGTATACTTGACTTGCTTGCCATTAAAAAACAAGAAAGGTCTTTTTGGTTCATTCCATCATCCCTGGAGTCTAGTCCAGTTCAGGTCCATATCCAGGGGACTGTATCTTCATACAGTTAAAGAGAAGTGGGGGTAGATGGCAGGTTTGGAGGAATACTTTTCAGCTAAGAATGTAACTTTGGTTGGTCCCTCTTGGCAATATGAATCTTCTCTAAGATGGGCTGTTATGATCTCAGTCCAGATAAGCAAAAACTTCTTCAGTGAATGGGATTGTTCTAGTCTGTCTGGTTTAGATGGGGCCTGTGATAGGCAAGTTTCTTAGGGTCAGTGGCTACATAGCAGCCGCCAGAGTTCAGACTGCCCCCTTGTGGAGCAGCCATTTTGCTATATTCCTTATCTTGTCTGATTGTCCAAAATATCTTCTTTAAGCCAATGCTATGTTTGGCTGGCTGAGTGGTTTTTAAAAGTTGGCACTTGAATGCCACACATACTCCAGTTAAGGCCACAGAACTTCCCTATTGTCACCTGGCCTGATTCATACGCTTGTGTTTCCTTCCTAGTTCCTACAGGCATTTGAGTTTCATTTGAAAATGAAATGAACCTCACAATCTGGAGAAGTATACTTATCCTTGTTATAATACTCTCTGGAATGACATGGACCCCATTCAAAGGGGCTTTTTTCAAAAACTTGTTTTTCCCTAAAACATATGCCCATAAGAATTGCATTAGACTGATGTTTCTATGCGTATTTGTTTCAAGTCTTCATATTTCACAGAATTTATGGAAGTTACTTTTTACTCTTTAAGAGAACTACATTAACTCTTAGAAGACTCACATTTTTGAAAGGCATAAGTATTAGTAAAATCTTAAAGATTTTATTTAGTAATCAGTAAAACAACAACCAAAGAGGTTGAACCTTACTTGTTTTAAATATTTATTAAATATGACCATTTGTATATAATATGTCTTTATTGCATGTGGACTGTCACTGGTGAGTCTTTATAGTAATTCACCCCTGGGTTTTGTCAGACCAAGATTAATTTCTATTGCTGTGGGAATGATGGCTCTTTCTCTTTCTTTACTAGCTTTTTATTATTTATAATGTGAAAAATTTGGATGTGTTAACTGTTTGGGATACAATTTTTTTTAGTAAAAATTAAACTGTTTCCAGGATTTGTTATAAGTGAGAGAACATTTTAAAATTTTGGTTTTTTTCTACTGAATAATTTGTTTTAATATGTTGTTTCAGTTTCTGTTACTATGGCAATGACGGCAGGGACTACACCAACCTTTCCTATGAGCAACCATACCCGGGAGAGAGTGACAGTAGCCAAGCTCACATTGGAGAATTTTTACAGCAATCTAATATTACAGCATGAAGAGAGAGAAACCAGGTATAATAAGGCTAGTGAAATTTTTCTCCTTCGTTAAATAAACTGTTGTGAGTGGAGTGTAAACATTTTTTCTGTTAATAATATGAAGTTTGTAGATCCCTGCATGCTGTATTTAAGTTTCCTGAACTGACTAACGATGCACCAACTTACTTGTTTTATTTTCGAAAAATAATTTCTTGAGAGACCCAAAGTCCTGTGCATCCATGTACTTATATCACATTCAGTTGATGTTTTAAACAGAACTTTTCCAGCCATGAAATTATGATATATCTTTATACTTTCTTTTATGAACGACTGACGTTAATTCAAAAACATTTACAGTGTTCTGCGTATACTAGTGGGAATGGAAGAATGAAAAAACAAATGATGTTATTTTGCCTCCAGGAAACATATAATATAACCAAGGAGATAATGTACATAAAAATTACATGAAACAGTGAAAAGTATCACTAATAGAAGGACAAAGAAGGGAGCAATTGCTTTTGACTAAAGCAGCTGGGACAGCTTCATAAATGGTGGTGGCATTTAAATAGGACCCTAAAGGAAGAGTACTATTTATACATTCATAGAAGCAGAAAGAAGTAAAAGAGCTGGAGGAAGGATATTGGAGTCCTCTAGTACTAGGTCAGGCAATGGCCAATTTAGCACAAGCACAGGAAGTGCTGGATTTCAACATTTGAATGCCTTGGATGCTTTGTTAAGGTAGCTATTCTCAGGTAGTAGAGAGCCATGAAGATTTTCGAGCAGAAGAATTAAATGATCAGAAGTGTTTCTCTGGAAGTATGCTTTAAGTGTGGTGTGTAGAATGGATTGGGGGGCAGGGAGAGAGATTAGAAACAGTGAATGCTAGTGATGTAGTTCAGGCAAATGGAAAGGAGACTTGAACTAGGATTGTGACAATAGAGGAAATGACAGGTGAGAAAGATTAACAAAACATGGCAACTAGCCAAATATGAAATGTGAGAGAAATAAGTTAATCTTGGCTTTGAAATTTCATGCCTGGGCACCTGACAGACTAGTGGTCCAATTTAGGAAATAGGAATAAGAGCAGAAGAGTCAGATTTTAAACTTAACTTTGAACATACTACCTTTGAGATTCTGGAAAGACATTTAGTGGAATGAACTATGAACTTTACCTGATAGATAAAGAAGAGAGTTAGGAGTTTGAGAGATAGGATGTACTAAAATTAAGTAATTTGTGTGAAGGTGGTAGTTGACACCTTACGAATCCATTCTAGCAACATGAAGGACTAGGTGCCCATATCAACTCTTATAATGAAAACAAGTTATATTTAAAATGATTGAAATCATCTGAGTTCATGTGTAACCTGGGAAGAAAGCAGTACTCAGGCCAGCAGTCAAGTGAAGGTAGGAACCTGAAGAGGTAAGCAGAACACTAAAATTGAGTATTCTCCTGGAGGGTGTTTATTGAACCTGGTAAACTTTTGCACTGGTTTTCAGAGCCACCTACTGCTCAGGAAAGAAGACAAAATGGAGAGTATGCCCACTGGGGAGTCTAATTGGAGATGCACCAGTGGTGTGCTGAAACCACAGAAATTGACAAAGGCTATATATCAGGGCTTTGTCATCGTCCGTGTCCACCCCCCTGCCAACCCCCACCCGGGAGAGCCAGCTTACTAGCTCACCACTGAGATGCACTCACTCTTCTTAAAGCCGGGATCCCAAAGTGCTATACTCTCAGTGTAAAGACAAACCAGAAATAAACCCTCTGAGGATGAACCTGAAATAAACCTACCCTGCTTCCTCCCCCTAGGGAACGGCAAGAAAATAATTACCAGCTTAAAACTCTATGCTGAGTAGACAGAAAACAAAACAAAGTCTTCCTCTAAGAATTTGGAAGCACATACTGGCCCTCACATGGATTTGTAGTCTGATGTCATATGACATGGGTAATGCTAAAAATTTAAGTTAAAAATTTAGTTTAAAGTGGTAACAGACTGAGATAGTGCCACCATGGGCCTAATAGAAGACAATGCAAATCACTTCAGGAGGAAGCTACCTTCATCCCAGACCTTAAAGAAGTTCCTCTGATAAAATTATCAGACAAATAAATGGTTTAGAGTTTTAAAAAATTACTGAATCAAGAAAACTAAGCACTATGAATAAGAACCAACAGAAATTATCTCAAGAAAAAGAGACTGTTGTATGTATGAATAAAGAACAATTAGATTTGAAAAAGAACCAGGCTTTCCTCAAAAAGTTAAACAGAATTACCATCTGACTCAGCAATTTCATTTGTTAGGTATATGCTCAAAAGACTTGAAAGCAGTAATGCAAACAGATACTTGTACACCAGTGTTCGTTGCAGCACTATTCACAATAGCCAAAAGGTAGAAACAACCCAAGTGTCCATCAGCAGATGAATGCTTAAACAAAATGTGGTCTATACATACAATGGAATATTCCTTATAAAGAGAAATGAAGTACTGATACATACGACCAGTGGATGAACCTTGAAAACATTATGCAGTGTGAAGTAAGTCAATCACAGAAGGACAAATATTATATGACCTCACATATATAAAGACAAGAACAGGCAAATGTATAGAGAGACCAGAGTTTATTAATGGTTACCAGAGATGAGAAGGAGGAGGAAAAGGAAGTTATTGTTTAAGAGGCATTGAATTTCTGTTAAGGGAAATGGATAGTGGTGGTGGTTGCAAAGCCTGATGAATGCAATTAATGTCACTGAATTGTATATGTAAAACATGTTGAAATGGCAAATGTTTTGTCATATGTATTTTTATTACAATTTTGAAAAATTTCAAAAGAAACTAGCAGAACTACTAGAAGTAAACATTATATTAATTGAAATTAAAATTTCAGTGGACAGGTTTAATTTTAGATTAGACACCACTGAAGACAGAATTAGTGAACTAGAAAATAAAAATTATTCAGAAGGCAGCTTACAGAAACCAAATAGGAGAATATGAAAGAAAGTTAAGGAACATGATGACTAGTGAGAGAAGCTTACATTTTATCTAATAAAAATTCCTAAGTGAGGAGAGAGAATGGAAAAACTGAGTTTACTGTCAGCAGAAATTCTAAAAGATTCGATTTAGGCAGAAGGAAAGTGATCACAAACAGAGATCTAAGTGGTAAATATGTGGATAAATCTAAACAAAAATTGACTGTACAAAACAACAGTAAAAATATGATAATGTCTTATGTATTTTAACAATAGAATTAAAATATTTTCCAGCAGTAGAATATAAGTCAGGTGAGAGTAATTGGAATTAAAATGTTCTTAAAGATCTTTATATCTCTAAGGATAGAGATACAAAGGAAAAAGGAGGTAAAGATTAAGTTCAGACTTGCTAAATTAAGCATACATGTAATTTCAAGGGTAACCACTAACAGAATAAAACAGAGTTTGTAACTCCAAACTAGTAGAAGGGGGAAAAAAGTAGAATTAGGAAAAAAATCAGTTCAAAAAAGGCAAGAAAGAAAAACTGAAGTACAGAAAAGTAGGCATGAGTAGAAAGCACAAAATAAGAAGTTAGAAATATATGCAAATATCTCAGTAATTACAGTAATTGTAAATGTAATTAAAGTGTCTGGAAGTAGATCAGATCATCCAGAGAGAGTGAGTAAAGCAGAAGAGAACCAAGAAAAGAAAGATTTGTATTTCTTCAAATGGTAGGCACTTAAGTTGTTCATCAGAATTTTAAAGGTTCACTGTCTTTTATTGCTGAAACCTTAAAATAAATTCAGTTTTGCCCTCTATTTCCAAGCAAAAGAAAGTAGAAATAAAAGTATCTTCTGATATTAAAAGAAATTATCAATCTTAGTTTGGGGCCATGTAGGTCAAATTAAACCATCAGCTCTTATTTTCTAAAAGCTTGCACTTTAAGAAAACATAAGGAATTTATAGGACTTAACCAACCGAATCTACCACTTGTCTGTCAGTTTGTCATACTGTGGTGGCCTACATGTTGCTGTGATGCTGGAATCTATGCCACTGGTATTTCAGATACCAGCAGGGTATTTGACACAGGAAGCATCAAAAGAAGGTGGAAGAAATACGCAGTCACTGTACCGAAAAGAATTGGTCCACATTCAGCCATTTCAGGAGGTAGCGTATGGTACTGAAGGAAGAAGTCCAAGCTGCATTGAAGGCATTGGCAAAAAACAAGGCTTCAGGAATTGATGGAATACCAGTTGAGATATTTCAACAAACAGATGCCATGCTGGAAGTGCTCACTCATCTATACCAAGACATTTGGAAGACAGCTACCTGGTCAACTGACTGGAAGAGATCCATATTTGTGCCCATTCCAAAGAAAGGTGGTCCAACAAAATGTGAAAATTGTCAAACAATGTCATTAATATCACACACAAGTAATACTGAAGATAATTCAAAAATGGCTGCAGCAGTACATTGACAGGAAGCTGCCAGAAATTCAAGCCAGATTCAGAAGAGGACTTGGAATGGGGGATAGCACTGCTGATGTCAGATGGATCTTGGCTGAAAGCAGAGAATACCAGAAAGGTGTTTACCTGTGTATTATTGACTATGCAAAAGCATTTGACCGTGTGGATCATAACATTATGAATAACATTGCAAAGAATGGGAATCCCAGAACACTTAATTGTGCTCATAAGGAACCTGTACAAAGATCAAGAGGCAGTTATTCGAACAGAACAAGGGGATGGCGAGTGGTTTAAAATCAGGAATGGTGTGTGTCAGGGTTGTTTGCTTTTGCCATACTTTTTCAGTGTGTATGCTGAGCATATAATTTGAGAAACTGGACTACATGAAGAAGAACGCAGCATCAGGATTGGAGGACGACTCATTAACAACCTGCATTATGCAGATGACACAACCCTGCTTACTGAAAGTGAAGAGGACTTGAAGCCGTTACTGATGAAGATCAAAGACTACAGCCTTCAGTATGGATTATACCTCAACATAAAGAAAACAAAAATCCTCACAACTGGACTGATAAGCAAGCAACATTATGATAAAGAGAGAAAAGATTGAAGTTGTCAAAGATTTCCTTTTACTTGGATCCATAATCAGTGCCCATGGAAGCAGCAGTAAAGAAATCAAGCTATGTATTGCCTTGGGCAAATCTGCTGCAGAAGATCTCTTTAAAGTGTTAAAAAGCAAAGATGTCACTTTGAGGACTAGGTGTGCCTGACCCAAGCCATGGTATTGTATGGAAAAGCTGGGCTATGAATAAAGAAGACCAAAGAAGAATGATGCCTTTGAATTATGGTGTTGGCAAAGAATATTGAATATATCATGGACTGCCAGAAGAATGAACAAATCTGCTTTGGAAGAAGTACAGCCAAAATGCTGCTTAGAAGCAAGGGTGGTACGAGTTCGTCTTACTTGCTTTGGACACGGACATGTTATCAGGAGGGATCAGTTTCTGGAAAAGGACATACTATTTGGTAAAGTAGAGGATCAGCAAAAAAGATGAAGGCCCTCAATGCGATGGATTGACATAGTGGCTGCAACAGTGGGCTGAAGCCTAACAATGATTGTGGGGATGACACTGGACCAGGTAGTGTTCCGTTCTGTTGTTCACAGGGTTTCTATGAGTCAGAACCGACTCAACAGCACCTAACAACAGCAACAACCAATTGGTTAAATCTGTAAGCCTGATAAAGTAACAATCAGAGCTAAGTGTAACAGCATTTTAGGAGTAAAACTTTTTTTTTTTTTTAAATGCGAGAGAAGGCATGGGTCTCTCTGTTTAGATATGATGGAAATAGTTGAAAACTTTTTACTGCATTTCTCCCCAGAATTAGGGATGATTTCATGAAGTATTAGGCTTGGCAAGGACTGAGGAAAAGGGATAGTGATTTGTTGAAAGAATGAAGTTGCTTGGATACTGATAGTCCCTCCCAGGTTAATGGTTCTCTTACTCTCTGAATTCTTTCTGAAGAGGAGAAGACTAGAAACCATGCAACAAGCAGTGCTTAGGGGTACATGAGGGCAGGTACAGAATCTGATGTTAGGAACTTATTCCATTCTAAGGGAACAATGTGTAAACAACGGATAAAAATCAGTGTGATAAGTTCCACAGTAGATACCTATTACAAGTTCTGAAGAAGCATGTGGGTGAAGTTTCAGTCCTCAACCAGTATGCCCACTTGGAGAGATCCTGTGACATTAGCCTTATTCTGTCAGACTCCAGAACTAATCTGAAGGAGTTCTCCCAGGATAATCTTTAGGAAAACCCAACACAGTAGAAATAAACCTATTAATACTCAGAAATGAGTTGCAAGGCAAATGTTCTGATGGTTAATGGGGCTATTTTATATATGTATATGACTTTCCAATTTTCGAAGAATTAGAATAAAATACATTTGACTCCACTGAGCATCTTTCCTTGATTAGCAAAACTGAGTACAGAGTTTAAGCTAGGAATTTAGACAAACTCATTTAGGTAATAGTGTTAGAATCAGGATTCAAATACAGGCCTTACACCTTAAAATTGTTTACTTTTGCATATCTCTAGCATAAACATTGATAAATATTAATGATTTTAGTAGATTGAACATTAATACAGTTTTCAGTATTAGAACATTAGTCACCTTGACTACAATTCATTTAGGAAGGAGAGTGAAATAAGTTTTATAAGTAAATTATTCATTTGGCTAGTATGAGAGCTAAATCCAAGTTTTTATTTTGAGAAAGAAAACTATTCTTAGTGATTATTGTGATCTAACGCAAAAGATTTTGCATTTTAGCTTAGGAACCTGAAGGGGTAAACTTGAGTAAATGAATATATATTTCTTAAACAGGGGTAGTTAGGAACCTAGTTAAAAGAAATTATTTTTTCTTTTTAAAAGGCAGAAGAAATTAGAAGTGGCCATGGAAGAAGAAGGATTAGCAGATGAAGAGGTAATGTAAGCTATACTTACTGTATAAAAGCAACCCCAGTGACTTTCTCATTATTGATATCAAATGATTTTATAACATTAGATAATGCGAATTTCATCATTTGACTGTGGGCTTCTTACTTTGTAGCTGTTATGAATATCTTTAAAAGGTGGCAGCAGGTTTTTTTTTTTTTTTTTATTCTAAGAACATATATTTGGTGAACAGTATCTGCACTATTCTTGGGTATGTAGAACAAGAAAGTGGGACACCAAGAGGATCAATCAACTCCTAATCCTTTCAAATATTTTCTAAATATTTCTTAAAACTGTCCACTTCTCTAGCCCCAGTGCCTCTATCCTAGTTTAAACTCCCATATAGCTGTCTCTAATTGGCCGTCTACCTCCAGTCTTGGCCCCACTCCCTCCCCTAATTTTTCCATTCACTGCAACCAGAGTGATCTTCTAAAAACAGATTAGATCCTATTTTTCTTTTGCTGAATATCCTTCATTGGCTCCAGAGTGCTCTCAGGATAACTGCAAACTTTTAACGTTGGTATACAAGATCCTTTAGCATTTGGCCTCTGCTTGTCTCTCTAGCCTCATCTCACTGACAATACTGAATTACTTTAATTTACCCTCCGTCGCCTGTAGAGCTTTTGACATGCTGTTTCTGCCATTTGGGACTCTTTCTAACTACCCCACTCAACCCTCATTCTTCAAAGAGCCTTAGGCCTCATGTAAGCATCTGTTCCACTGGGAAATCTTCCCCACCTCCCAAGGTGCTCCTTGTACATTCTACTGTAACACTGTTCCCGCACCTGTCACAGCACTTAACATACCATGTTCCCATAAAGTAGAAACTCCATACCGCCCAGATCATGTCTTAATCAGCATTTGGCAGAGGAGGAGAATAAATGTTGGTAAATAAATTAACAAATGAATAATGGATCTTGCCCTCAAGGAGTTTACAGACTAGAAAGAGAAATTATATGAGTGGCATGTGTATGTGTGTGTAAAAATTATGTATAGACGATAGAATGTTGCCAACTTTGAAAATACAGATAAGTTGTTTTTTTTTTTTTTTTTAAATTCAGGGTATTGGGTAAGGCTTCATTGAAGAGGTAACATTTAATTTGAACCTTAAAGAATGGGTAGAATTTATAGTACTGATAAGAGGTATATACAAAATAATGAATATACAGTATATGCAGTGTAATGAGTAATTACATTTGAGCTAAAAGGGTACAATAAAGGAAATAGTAATAGCTCATAATGTAAGGCTGTGCTTGGAATAGCTTACTCTAAGAGATTTATACTTTATTTTCTAGGCAATAATGAGTCACAACTCAGATTAAGAAATGTAACATTTTGCAGTTTGCAACATCTGGTCTATACTAAGTATTAACATTTAGAGCTATTTTCTTTGAATCTTACAAATAACTTGTAGAAAATTTGAGGTGAATTAGTCCCTAAGAAAAGTTAGTGACCTATTATAACTATTTATAAAATTTCTAGAATTTTTCCATAAAGGTATTTTTAATTCTACAAATGCTTATTGTCAGGTCTTTAAACTATGTAATATGGCCATGTAGTGCATATAAACTAAAATGAAATTGCTATCTGAACCCTTTCATATCTCAAAACTTTTGTATACACCATCTTTTATAAAAACCAGGCACCTTAACAAATCTTGAGTTTGAAAAATACCCATTTAAAAAGAAATGGACAAAGGAAGAAAATGACGTGTTACTAGCTTCATCTCACTTAAGAAAATCCCATCAAAAATGGAATATTGTTTACTTCAATGGAAAATGAAAGGAGCCCTGGTAGTGCAGTGGTTAAAGTGCTCAGCTGCTAACCGGAAGGTTGCCTGTTCGAACCTACCAGTCTCTCTGTGAGAGAAAGATGTTGCAGTCTGCTTCCATAAAGATTAAAGCCTTGGATATCATTATGGGACAGTTCTACTCTGTCCTATAGGGTGGCTGTGAGTCAGAATCGACTGACGGCAATGGGTTTGGTTTGGTTTAGTGGAAAATGAAAATAGGCAAGTTCAGACTGCAAGAGAGGGCCATGAAATGTTTAGTTCACTGATTATTTTCTATTTTTTGTCTTTGGAGAGGAAAAGATATGATTACCACAAAAACGTTTGATTCCTCTTTCAAGACTACTTTATCTACTTAAGTCTTGAGCAGATATGTCAACATGCTTTTTTGTTGTTTTTTTCTAAATGTGAACTTGATTCAGCTTTGTCTGGACTGTAACACTGATTTTAAGATTAAAATCATGGAATAGATTTTTCTTAAAGTAATACAACAATGTTATAGGTGGTTCCATTTTTATAGAATGATATGTTCCATACACTTCTGATTCTCCCTTTTTGCCAATAAATAGCTGTGCCCCAAAGTACATACACATTGTTTTTTTTGCTGCATTATATAACCCATCAGATAGTTAATGAACATTATCTTCTCTAACTTCATCTCTCAATTTTGAGCACATTTTATGAAACTGTGTAATAGGTCATATTTTCCATTCAAATTAAGCTATTTATGCAGCTACACCCAACTATATTTTATAATCCACAAAGGCAGAAATCCAGAATGTCTTTTAAAATTCTTATAATTATTCATTTATGCAATTAAAAAAAGAAAGGAAAAAAACACATACAAAGAAACTCTTTACAGCCTTGAAGGACATAATGCTATAGTGCCACCATGTGGCTTTTTAAGTTACATTCTTAAAGGAAAAGTTTCAAAACTACTTTTATGGCTATCTTATGGCTATATTTGTTGTTGTTTTTGTGCCGTCAGTCAATTCTGACTCATAGTGACCCCATGTGACAGAGTAGAACTTCCCCCATAGGGTTTTCTAGACTGTAATCTTTATGTGAGCAGATAGCCAGATCTTTCTCCAAGGAGCTTGCTGGGTGAGTTCGAACCACCAACCTTTCAGTTAGCAGCCATGCGCTTGACTGTTACGCCACCAGGGCTTTGTTTTATTAGTAATTCAGTTTTTTTTTATTATTCAAAAGGTGTTTTTGAACATCCAGTATGTGCAAAAAAGGGTATTTGGCATTTGTTTTTATTTAAAAAGAAACAAAGAGTCTTCACTGTTGCCCTATTGATCCATCTTCCTTGTTTTTGTAATTACATAAATGTAATTATAATCATATTAAACAGATATTTAAAAGGGGGAAGAAAAACACCCTAACCCCATGATTAGAGAAATCTATTTTTTAAACTAATACACAGCCACTAGATATGGGTAGGTTTTAGAGTAATGATTATTGTATCTTTATTGTAGTCACTTAATTTCCTTTACTGCCTGTCTTCTTAGAAAAAAAAAAATTCTGTTTCATTGTTGCCTACTTACTTTTTCCATAGTACCACTGTATCTTGTAATAGGTATTAGATGTGAAAAATTAGACAAGGTATCTTTAATTTATATATTTGACTAAATTATCTTCATATTGCCATTATTTCCACTATACTGTGCCTAAGCATGTCATTTCATTTAGCTGTTTGACTATAGTTGAAGACACTTGCATAACTTCTTGATTGCATCCTTTTGGATTAACTTTGTTAGAAGTATCAGAACTCATTGCATTGATGATTCACATTTACATATTTCTAATAGTTCACCTTACCCTTTTTTAAAACAGATATACACAGAAGAAGGGGCTAATCAATGTTTATGTTTTGAACTACATTAAGGAGTAATATTTCTGAGCTGTTATGGTCATTTCTTATTATTTTGACTTGTCTACCCTTAGAACTGAACCGCTGAAAGCTTGATAGGGTTCACTTGAAGATGAACAGGAGTTCAATGTTTTCACTTATTTATTTTTCCCACTCTATGTTACCTTTACTAGGAATTAACTATATTGAAAAACAGAATTTTGTTTGGTGAGGGAAAACAGGTTCAGAACAATGAAGTAAATGCTTGTTTATAATAAACCTGTTTCATAACACTGCTTCATAATGCTGTAAAATATATATCTCATAGTGCTCTGGGGACCATGGTCTCGGGGAACATCTAGCTCAATTGGCATGACACAGCTTATAAAGACAGTGCTCTGCATTCTACCTTGGTGAGTAGTGTCTGGGGTCTTAAAAGCCTGTGAGCGGCCATCTAAGATACTCCACTGGTCTCATCCCTTCGGGAGCAAGGGATAATTAAGAGAACAGGATACAAGGAAAAGATTAGTCCGAAGGACTAATTGTCCACA